CGTGGGCAGTGCGAGGATCAGCTTAGAATGAGTTCTTCCTTCTCTCTTCTCTTTCTTGCTTCTCCTCTGTTTGGCGTTCTGGTTGCCCTGAAATCAAGATGTGGTTGTGTATTCAGGGAAACCTGGATCTGGCAGACATGGGGATAAGGTGCCAATGTCAAGTCCTTCTCTTCAATAGCTCCCTTTTGCCAGAGACCTCAGACATCATATATGATCCTCAAAAGACCCTGAGAAGGAGACTGAGCAAGGGCCATTTCCCCATTGGACATGTTAGCACCTGAGACCCAAAGAGGCACTGATTGACCCCCAGTCACCTGTCAAGTCAGGACTGAGTAGCCAGGTTTCCAGAATCCCAGCCCATTTTTCTTTATCCTATAGCCAGAGGTGTCCGTGAAACCCCCCAGGTGATGACCGTATCTCCAGCACAACCTCCAGAGAAGTTCCCCATGGGAGCAGGAAGGAGGACATTTCCATCAGGTTCAGGAGTGGGGAGGCAGGTGAACAGTCAGGTCCTACCTACTATTCAGGGCCGAGTGGGTGGACCAGGGCCAGAATGTCACTGTAGTGTTACCTCTGCCTACCCACGTGTCCTGTGGCCTGGAGGAACAGGCTGGCTCCACAGCTGACAACCGAAGCATGTATCCTGGCCGAGCCACTTGCTCACCTTGAGACTGTGAGCGATTTCTCAGCCTCTCAGCACCTCGCTCAGCCTTGCTTTCTTCATATGTGCAAGGACAGCAACGTCCACCTTACCGTCAAAGGGAGATATTGCAGGGCCAGCCCGTGGCTCATTTGGGAGAGCATGGTGCAGAGGGAGATATTATTGTACACTGTTGTGACCATGCCTAGCACAGCACCTGGCACTGAAAAATTCCTACTACGTGCTCCACATTTCTAATCCGCCCTGGAGAGCCCTGGGCAGCCATTCCAAGTGTTTGGAATTCTGGGTCAGCACTGGAGCCCGCACTTCAAAGTGGTGCCCACACCATTCCGCAGAGAGTTGATTTCAAAGACCCGTACGACGCAAGCAGGCAAGGGGTCATTTCAGGGTCAGACAGAAGACAAGGGAGTAGGGAGGGCTTTTTGTTTATTTAGTGAGTTTTAAAGCCAAGGGGGAACATATTAATAAGGAAGAGAAAGAAAACCCCTCTGGACTTATCTGGATTCCTGGGAAATTTCCCTAAATGAGAAGCAAATATTTTCATAATTGTGCTGGCATTGCAAAGGGCTCTAAGGACAGGTTTCTCAGCAGAGTGGAAAAAAATCTGGCTCCGTAGATGCTCCTTGGATCCTGCTGTTGATGCCTGGGGCTTCCACATGTTCCTGTCCCACCCCACCATGTTCTCCTGTCCTCGGCCTTCCAGGACCCCCAGCAGTAGCTTCACAGCTCTAAGAGGGCAGGGCAGAAAAGGGCACCTGCTGGACTCTGAGCTTCTGCTCCCACAAGGGAGCACTCTCTCAACACAGCAAGCCTGCCGGGCCATGGTTAGGGTCATACCATGTCCCAGATGGGGAAATGGAGTTTTAGCTATAGTTCCCAGCGTTGGGAACTGAACCAGCATTCACACCCAGGTCCTCCACACAACAAAGCCAGCTTCCATTTCACCAAGTCCATCCCTCTGCACCATTCCTTTCCCCTCCCCTTCAGTGTATCTTTTCTTCCTGCTCCTCTTCCTTCCTGAAGTCTGGGGACCTGCAGCCTGTACTAGAAAGAATAGAGGGGCTTTGAGCAAGACAAGTTTGGATTCTCCTTGGACTTTGTGCCATGACTGTGCTGTGTCCCTCTGGAAGACCACCTTCTGACCATGATTCTCAGTCTTTGCAGTCTGGGCATAGAGGTCTTTCCCTCACAGGGCTGTTTCCAGGGTCACAGGTTACCGATGAGATCCATCCAGCTTTGTATCTGGGAAGGGCCAGTTGCTATGACTTATTTTTATCACCTTTATGACTGACCCTGCACGTAGCCTGAAAACTAGCAACTCAGACCATCAAGCTCTAAGGCAATGAGGGAGGGAGGTGAGGGCCTGGGATGCTTGGCTGAGGGGTGGCCATTTGGGGGAGGGAGAGGGGCTGTGGGAGCTAGGTAAAGGGAAAGCTTAGGGGGCAGGGAGGCAGAGGGATTGGGAAGATTTGGAACCAAGAGAAAAAGGCAGACAAAGAAACTTTCAATCAAACTCAAAATCCCCACCGGCCGCCCAATGGTGCTTTTGTGCAGTGACATGAAAGGGTCTGGGGGCTTCGGGAAGGGTCCGTTGGGGAGGGTGTGACTGGCCTTGAGTAATGAGCCTGGCCCCCCGGCCTCTCTGTCTCCCCTGACAGGCCTCCATGTCCTGAGCTGCAGGAACAATCCCCTGATTATCCCGGTGGTCCATGACCTCAGCCAGCCCTTCTACCACAGCCAGGCGGTACGTGTGAGCTTCAGTTCGCCCCTCGTCGCCATCTCGGGGGTGGCCCTCCGCTCCTTCGACAACTTTGACCCCGTCACCCTGAGCAGCTGCCAGAGAGGGGAGACCTACAGCCCTGCTGAACAGAGGTAAGGACCCTGGGCCTACTCGCCCTTGGCCATTTGTAGCCAAGTGGAGTCAGTGCAGCTCTGAAGCTGGGTAGCCATTTGTGTTGCTGTAAAAAGTCTGTGAGTTTCTCCCTTCTCCATCCTCTAGCTGCTGGCTGCTCTGCCTTTGAGCTTGAGAGGACTGCAAGACCCTGAATTTTGGGGACAAGTGAAGGAAGCAGGGATTGGGGTGGAAAGAGAACCTTCTTTACCTGGCTCGCAGCAGCAGGGTTCACAATAGCTTGCAGGGGGGTTTCTGGGAATATCGTTTTCCTTCTCTGGGCCTCAATATCCCTATCTGAACAAAGAGAGGGCAGGTGGATTAGCTGTCTTTCAGTTCAGAAATGTTGGAATATTCTGCTTCCTAGGTAAATAGACAAGAGGCATAATCCTCCTAAATTGAGGGGCATGGTGTGGGACTAGCATTTGCTTCACCCCTGTTCACTGTGTGTTTCAGTGACAGGTGAAATCTCCATGTCTTCTACAAGCCTAGCCCCTGAGATCCCCTTAGTGGTCTCGGGGCCTGTCTTTTAACTGCATAACATCACTCCATCAATGCTTTTAATTTGGCATCTGTTAATGCATCAGTTTAGAGGTAGGAGGGGATGTTTCCTGGAAAAAATATGAGCTTTGGTAATGCTCTTATTTGGGTTTGAATCTCCCCATTACCATTTCTCAAATTTGTGTTCTCGGACTAGTCACTTCACTGTGGTGAGTTTCAGTTTTCTATTTTGGAACAAGCTGGTAATATTTACCCCACAGGGTGGTTGCAAGTGTTAAATGTTGCACTGTG